TCTTCATAGGCAGAACGTAGGCACACATTTTGCTTTTGATAGAATGAGCTTTATTGAGAGAATAGCCATTGAGAGAAAGCAACAGAATGCGTAGTTAGAAGCCCGGCGTCATTGCCCTTAGAGCCACAGCTCCCAGGGTCCCCTGAAAAGGGCAAATGACTGTTAAACTGGGGAAATTCAATGATGTGGTTGCCTTGCAGGGAGAAATGGTCAAAGAAGCATTCCGGCTTCAATGGGCAGAGCGTGACTTGCATGGTTTTCTGCCTATCACAGCACCTTCTCCAGGTGAACGGGCTTCTTGTTTTCGCAGGTCACACGAACGCGTTTGGAGGTCTCTGTGCCTTTGTATTTGCAGTCCTTAGGAGGTTTACCATCAGTGAAGCTGCAGTCAATCATGGGGAAGTTCTCGTTGCTGTCATAGAATTTACCTTGCCATTGCTTCCCACCATTGCCGCAGACCTGTAGGACAGACTCCTTGTCATGGTTGATGAAAGTATTCCTCGGTTTGCATCTACTTGGGTTCAGATTCCTCTTCACCATCATGAGGTTGCAGTAGGCACTGGGGTTGGAGGCTCGGGTCTGGGGATAATCAATGTGCTTGTTTTGAAAAGCTTTCCAAGACTGCCCTTCACAGGACTGCACCAGGACGACGCTGAGAAGGATGGCCAGACGAACCAGCAGGCAGCTAGAGATCAGCATGGTGGCGTCCAAGAATTTTCTGGGAGGAAAAAGAAGAGGAAGAAAAGGGGAAAACATTAAAGAGATGCCTATTTCTTAAGTTATCTTATACACCTTACAGGAAATACACCTATATAGGACATTTCCTTATAGGAAATGTGGTGATAGAATATGGAGCATTTGTGGGAAGCCTCTATTGAAACAAAGTTAAATATGATTGGCATGAATGGGAGGTCCTGCCCCAATTGACTTTATTCATATGGATAAATGACAAAATATATTTAAGCAAGGGGGACCTCAGGGCAGGAATTAGTCAATGGGCCCTGCCAGGAGTCTGGGATTCTTATTTTTTAATATACAGTGGTACCTCGGGTTACATATGCTTCAGGTTACATACGCTTCAGGTTACAGACTCCGCTAACCCAGAAATAGTACCTCGGGTTAAGAATTTTGCTTCAGGGTGAGAACAGAAATTGTGCGGAGGTGGCGCAGTGGCAGCAGGAGGCCCCATTAGCTAAAGTGGTGCTTCAGGTTAAGAACAGTTTCAGGTTAAGAACGGACCTCTGGAACTAATTAAGTACCGTACTTAACCCAAGGTACCACTGTATATAAATGAATTTATTGGTTTTACATATAATCACATTACGTAACATTGTAGCCTCTTTTTTTATCTCTTTGGCTCAACTGAGCCTAACGACTTCGCTCCATCCAATCTGATGGTTTCCAAAATTAAACTTTACATCTTTACATTTTGCTTCGTTTCATATCCTTGTTACAGCATTACCTAAAATATTATATTACTCAACCTGAACAGGTAGCCATTTCATCTTACAAATCTTCAGATAACCCTGCTAATGATGGGAATCTGGGGTTCTTAAGAGCTGCACCAGGCGCTGGCACCAGCTGTGTTCACAGAGCAGCCTTCATTCAGCTTCACAGCCAGGGCGTTAAGGAGACTGAGGGCTTAGCCACACTTTGATTTCCATGTATTGTGATGTATCACTAAAGAACGAGCTCTCCCTTGGATAGGAGTGGGTCAAGTGGAAAACCACTCGGACCTCTGCTTTCTAAGCATGGCACAATTGGAAGTGTTGGCAAGACCTGAGACAAACAGCTGCATCCCATTCCCAGCAACAGAAACTCAGAGACTCAACTATGTGGATGACTCAAATGTTGGACTCCATCCTCTCCTCCTTTGTTGCTTAAGAACCTACCTTTGTAGCACCCTGCTTGTGGTTAACGCTTAGCTGGAATGAAATATTCAACACAGCAATAGAGAAATTAAAATAATAATTTATTTGTCAGACAAATAAATGAGAGGCACAGTGGTATATGGTTACCAAGCTCTGGCCTGGCCTCCTGCCCTTATGGCCAGCACTTATATTCCCTCAGCCCAGCCCCCTTGCTCCTCCTTTGGCTGCCTCTGTCCAATCAGCCTGGTTGAAATTCCTATTGGCTGTTTGCTAGAACCAATCATAAAAGATACACCCACTTCCTATTACCTTTTATGGGAGACAAAGAGCTATAGTTCCTTCTATTTATAATTGGCAAACAAGTAGCCATTAACCTCTACAAGGCACCTTAATTACCAGATCACCTTTGCCCCCTTAATTCTAAAATAGAGCAGATGGCTAAAACAGATGGTGGGGTATTTTTATCTGAACAGATCTTTTGTTCACCTTTTCACACACCATCTATGAAAGAGCTCCTTCTTTGGAGGTCTTTAAGCAGAGGCTGACAACCATATGTCAGGAGTGCTCTGATGGTGTTTCCTGCTTGGCAGGGGGTTGGACTCAATGGCCCTTGTGGTCTATTCCAACTCTATGATTCTATGATTCTATGAAATAAGAATCTAACATTTCTTACTTTCTAGATGCTTACAACAGAATATCATATTATACATAACATAAATAACCTTTTAAAAGGAAAAGAAATCTTTGCAGAGTAAAAGGATCTGTTTAAAAGGAACAAGGAACAGCTTAAAAAACGGCTCTTTACTCCCCCTCTTGCCAGCCAGATGCTTTGACCTTTTGGCTCTATATCTGATGAGAGGCCAAATGGCAAAACCTTACTATTTACCAACTCTTAATTTAACTGCTTTTATTACAGCTTAATTATATTCTGTAATATGTAGGGTCAGTGACCTTTTGCTCTCAGCCTTTTTATGACCGCAATAAACCAGAGGGGCCCTCTGCCAAAAGAGCTTGCCAGCTGCCTGCTGGTTTTCTGCCTCTAAAGAAACATTTGTGAATTTAAGCTCATTTTTAGAATATAGGAACCTGATCAAAATATAAGCCTTGATTATAATGCAGGCTATGATCAGATGCCTCACCTTAAACTGCATAACTATCAGAATCATCATCTTGCGTCCACCCCTCTACCTGTTAAATAAACCTTTGTAATCACCCATCTCCCACCATTATGTTTCCCCCCTTCTTCCTTTCAGGAAATCTGGGGGCTGGTTGACTGTTGTGATTGCCAAATGTTTATAGTACACACACACACACACACACACACACACACACACTGTGCATCCTGTTGCAGCAACTTATGAAGAATCTTTTTCAAACCAAGAGCCACACTCATTTCTGGGCTACCTTCTGAGGGCCACATGCCAAAGGTGAGCAGGGCCAGAGGTCAAAGTGTATCAAGCAGCAAATGTAAATTTTACTAGGATATCTTCTGCACAGATTCATGCACTCTCCATTCTGTGTTGCATCCAGACAAGCAGGAGAATACCCTCCAACATGCTGCAGATGGAAATCATGGTGCGTGTTTTTCAGGCCTGTACTCCTGCAAGTACATGTCTTTCAGGGCCACACTCTCACAGAAGCCAATATGGGACATCCCAGGAGCCAATCAGAAGCCAGTGTGGCTTTTGTAATACCAGGGTGTCCCACTCAAAGCAGGACAGAGTATGCAAGAGGCATTATCAGAGCTCAAGGATGCATTCAACCCTGGCAAAAATAATGAGTATGTTTATGATTAGTATATTTGTTTATATCCTGCATATCAGTTATTCAGCTGGTGTCATTTCTTCAGCTGCATAAAATCCTAGGGAACAAATATCAAATTTTATTGCAGACCCAACACTCTGTGTATCAAATATTACATTTCCAAACATCAGAAGCTTACAGTTCTACAAATATTGGCCTGGCTAGGAAGATGGCGATTTTAAGTGTGTGACACCTGGGGGGTTGCATTTGGCTCCCAGTCCTGAGGTTCCCCACCTCCAGTTTTGAGGCTGAATTTCTTCATAAATAAGAAGTTAACTCCCAGAATGTACAAGATACTAAGATATATGAGCAGGCAATATATAAGTGCCACATCTTTTCCTACTCTGGGGAGGAGACATGGGTTTGGACATTCCCAAGTGCCAGATAAGAGAGGGATTATTAGCTCCCCGATGCTGAGGTCTCCCCACCCCCAATTTGCCACTTCTGCACTGATCTCCTTCTTTTGCCATGTGTCCTTAGGAAATCCTCTCCACAAAATGTCCTGGGTATTGGCCTGGCCAGCTCTAAGTGGTCCAAAACTATGTGATTTTGAGGACCTTATGGGGAGGCAAATTCCCCACATCAGCGAAGATCATGGTGAGTTAGGTGGACTGATGGCTTATCTCAGCACATGCTAAGTCATATTTGGACTAACATGAAGCAGAAAAGAAGAAAAGAAGGAAGGCCGGAGAGGGAAGTACAGTGGTACCTCGGGTTAAGTACTTAATTCGTTCCGGAGGTCCGTTCTTAACCTGAAACTGTTCTTAACCTGAAGCACCACTTTAGCTAACGGGGCCTCCCGCTGCCGCCGTGCTGCCAGAGCACGATTTCTGTTCTCATCCTGAAGCAAAGTTCTTAACCCGAGGTATTATTTCTGGGTTAACGGAGTCTGTAACCTGAAGCGTATGTAACCTGAAGCATATGTAACCCGAGGTACCACTGTAATGTACTTTACCAACCAGCAGTTACCAAAAGATAGGGAAGAATGGGTTGCCTTTCTAGCCATCACTCCCAATTGGTTCAGGTAGCATATTGCCGGTTTCCTGATGAAAACCACCCCCCAACCCAAGCTGTGTTTTACAAAACAAAAAACAAAACAAAAAAGAATATCTGGTCACAGATAGTGTCAATTATGTTCATAATTTTGAATATTCCGGTTCTTGTGGAAAAAAAAGTGTTTTGTTATGCAGGAGTTCGTTAAAGATTTGCCTAATTCACTCTGAAAAGAACAAGTTTCTCTGATTTCCTGCTTTCACTCGTAAAGAGCTTCTGAGCTCTTCATAGGCAGAACGTAGGCACACATTTTGCTTTTGATAGAATGAGCTTTATTGAGAGAATAGCCATTGAGAGAAAGCAACAGAATGCGTAGTTAGAAGCCCGGCGTCATTGCCCTTAGAGCCACAGCTCCCAGGGTCCCCTGAAAAGGGCAAATGACTGTTAAACTGGGGGAATTCAATGATTTGGTCGCCTTGCAGGGAGAAATGGCCAAAGAAGCATTCCGGCTTCAATGCGCAGAGCGTGGCTTGTGTGGTTTTCTGCCTATCACAGCAGCTTCTCCAGGTGAACGGGCTTCTTTTCTTCGCAGGCCACACGAATGCGTTTGGAGGTCTCTGTGCCTTTGTATTTGCAGTCCTTAGGAGGTTTACCATCGGTGTACCTGCAGTCAATCATGGGGAAGCTCTCGTTGCTGTCATAGAAATTACCTTGCCAACGCGTCCCACCATTGCCGCAGACCTGTAGGACAGACTCATTGTCATGGTTGATGAAAGTATTCCTTGGTTTGCATCTAATTGGATTCAGATTCCTCTTCACCATCATGAGGTTGCAGTAGGCACTGGGGTTGGAGGCTCGGGTCCGGGGATAATCAATGTGCTTGTTTTGAAAAGCTTCCCAAGACTGCGCTTCGCAGGACTGCACCAGGAGGACACTGAGAAGGATGGCCAGACGAACCAGCAGGCAGCTAGAGATCAGCATGGCGGCGTCTAAGAATCTTCTGGAAGGAAAAAGAAGAGGAAGAAAAGGGGAAAACATTAAAGAGATGCCTATTTCTTAAGGCATCTTATACACCTTACAGGAAATAAACCTATACAGTGGTACCTCGGGTAACATACGCTTCAGGTTACATACTCTTCAGGTTGCAGACTCCGCTAACCCAGAAATATTACCTCGGGTTAAGAACTTTGCTTCAGGATGAGAACAGAAATCGTGCTTTGGTGGCGTGGCGGCAGCGGGAGGCCCCATTAGCTAAAGTGGTGCTTCAGGTTAAGAACAGTTTCAGGTTAAGAATGAACCTCCGGAACAAATTAAGTACTTAACTTGAGGTACCACTGTATAGGACATTTCCTTATAGGAAATGTGGTGATAGAATATGGAGCATTTGTGGGAAGCCTGTATTGAATCAAAGTTAAATATCATTGGCATGAATGGGAGGTCCTGCCCCAATTGACTTTATTTACATAGATAAATGGCAAACTATATTTAAGCAAGGGGGACCTCAGGGCAGGAATTAGGCATTCCAAATTCATTCATATATATATATATATATATATATATATATATATATATATATATATATGAATTTATTGGTTTTACATATAATCATATTACGTAACATTGTACCGTCTTATTTTATCTCTTTGGCTCAACTGAACCTAATGACTTCCCTCCATCCAATCTGATGGTTTCCAAAATTAAACTTTACATCTTTACATTTCGCTTTGTTTCCTATCCTTGTTACAGCATTACCTAAAATATTATATTACTCAACCTGAATAGGTAGCAATTTCATCTTACAAATCTTCAGATAACCCTGCTAATTATGGGAATCTGGGGTTCTTAAGAGCTGCCCAAGAATGACAAGTGCTGGCACCAGCTGTGTTCACAGAGCAGCCTTCATTCAGCTCCACAGCCAGGGCGTTAAGGAGACTGAGGGCTTAGCCACACTTTGATTTCCATAAATTGTGAGGTATTACTAAATAACGAACTATGCCCTTGGAAAGGAGCGGGTCAAGTGGAAAACCACTCGGACCTCTGCTTTCTAAGCATGGCACAATTGGAAGTGTTGGCGAGACCTGAGACAAACAGCTGCATCCCATCCCATGGCTGTGCAGACCCAACAGCAGCAGAGACTCAGAGACTCGACTATGTGGATGACTCAAATGTTGGAGTCCATCCTCTCCTATTTTGTTGCTTAGGAACCTACCTTAAACTGCATAACTATCAGAATCATCATCTTGCGTCCACCCCTTCCTCTGCTAAATAAACCTTTGTAATCACCTATGTCCCACCATTATGTTTCCCCTCTTCTTCTTTTCAGGAAATCTGGGGCCTGGTTGACTGTTGTGATTGTCAAATGTTTTATAGTACACACGTGCGCGTGCGCACACACACACACACACATACGCAATGCATGCTGCAGCAGCAAGTTATAATGAATTTTTTTCAAGCCAAGGGCCACATTCCTTTCTGGGCTACCTTCTGAGGGCCACATGCCAAAGGCAAGCAGTACTTAATGAATTAAGTACTTAACCCAAGATACCACTGTATTAGATTTCCAAACATCAGAAACTTACAGTTCTACAAATGTTTGCCTGGCTAGGAAGATGGCGATTTTGAGTGAGAGAGACCGGGACATTTAAGTGGTCCAAAACTATGTGATTTTGAGGACATTATAGAGAGGCAAATTCCCCACATCAGCAAAGATCATGGTGAGCTAGGTGGGCCGACGGCTTATCTCAGCACATGCTAAGTCATATTTGGACTAACATGAAGCAGGAAAGAAGAAAAGAAGGAAGGCCTGAGAGGAAGTACAGTGGTGCCTCGGGTTAAGTACTTAATTCGTTCCGGAGGTCCATTCTTAACCTGAAACTGTTATTAACCTGAAGCACCACTTTGGCTAATGGGGCCTCCCGCTGCCGCCGTGCCGCCAGAGCACGATTTCTGTTCTCATCCTGAAGCAAGGTTCTTAACCCGAGGTACTATTTCTGGGTTAGCGGAGTCTGTAACCTGAAGCGTATGTAATCTGAAGCATATGTAACTCAAGGTACCACTGTAAGGTACTTTACCAACAAGCAGTTACCAAAAGAGAGGGGGAAATGGGTTGCCTCTCTATCCATCACTCCCAATTGGTTTAGGTAGCATATTGCAAGCCTTGTTGCTTTACTCCCAACAGAAACATGAGCCAGTTTCCTGATGAAAACCACCCCCAAGTGCGAATGAATGAATGAATTATTGTATCCTGCTCATCTGGACTGGGTTGCACCAACAGAATATACAAAAACACAACTTACCCAAGTTCAATCCGGTCTTGAGTTATGCGTGCGACTTTTCGAAGAGGCGAGTCTGTCCTTCAGGCTGCTGCTGCCCAAAGCTTAAAAGGGGCAGGGGACAGGGAAAAGAAGAAATGAACTTCAAGCCACTTGCCCAATAGGAGTTTACCAGAGAATTTTTAAAAAAATTGAATCGGAAATGTTTGAAAGTTAACCAACAATTATGCAACATGGCTCTGTAAAAAAGGAAGAAGAATATAACACTGATAAGAAAGGGGTGTGGTGGTAAAATGAACAGGGGGCAATGTTTGCCTACACCTGCTGATTTCTGTATATCACTCCAGATATGCACCAGAGCAAGCCAAGGTCATTGTTTCACTAGCCAAGCTGACAAGCTTCCAGCACTTGTTGCCAGTTCATTTCCAGGCCCAAGTTGAGGTTCCCACATTAGTTTTTTGTGGGGAGGTGGGGGCTTTTGCAGCCATTACTGTGCCCTTGGTTGCCACCGCATTTCTGAGCCCAATTTAAAGTGCTGTTTTAAATCTTTAAAGCCCTAAACGACTTTGACTCAAGGTGTTTAAAAGCCCATGGAGAACTGATGCTGCTCGGTCACAAAATGCTAATTAATGCAGTGAAATGGAAAACCAGGGGGGAAGCAAATACAATGGAGTCTCCTGGATGAGGTCATGCCTGGCTAATTGGCTGCCAGAAAACCTTAACCATAGCCCTCTTCATGAAACATTCTGTTGCAGGACCCACTCATTTCAATTCTTTTTCAAAAAACGATCCTGTCATTTCATTGACTTGTATTCTTTTGCACTTCACCAAAGGTGTAAGCCATCTTAAATGTCTCTTTTTGGACAGAAAAGATGGTGTAGATGTTATTCAAATGCACAAATGATTAACAAGGCAAATAGTGAACCCTGTCACCATTGCAATGAAATATGACCCCGCCACAAATAAATTCACACTTGCATCTTAAGGAAAGTTTTATTAGCATTTATCTTCTACACTTGCAGCTATTGAAGCACATGCAGAGCAAATATACTGTATGTATAACAAAGTTTGATTTCAAAGGGTACATCCATACTATGCCCTTATAAGGGCTGTGTTTCATGGCTATGGTTCCCCCTCAAAGATTCTTGGGAATTGTAGTTTGGGGAAAATTTGGGAGTTTTTGGCAGTCCTTCTCACAGAACTACAGTTCCCAGGGTTCTCTGGAGACAGCAAGGAAAGCTCTTTGTATTATTAGAATTTCAGCTCTGTTCATCCGAGCTGACAAGGCTCATCTTCTTTGAGCCCACCCAGCAGAGCATTAAAACAACAAAGTCCACAACGGAAGGATGAGGCAGGTATGATGCTACATTGCTACTTTATTACTAAGCTATGCAGAGAGCAAAGAAATATACCGTATTTTTTGCACCATAACACTCACTTTTTCCTCCTAAAAAGTAAGGGGAAATGTCTGTGCGTGTTATGGAGGGAATGCCTACGGGTGGCATGCCTACGGATTTTCCTCCTCTAGAAACTACGTGCGTGTTATGGTCGGGTGCGTGTTATAGAGCGAAAAATACGGTACATCTTGTCTCTATGAGAGCAGAGAGCAACTGAACAAAGAAACGACAGAACAAAAGAAACAGGAAACCAGTAACGTCACATCCCGTCTCCCTTTCCCGTGAGAATCCAACAGTATCTGACTCTGTGGAATGTAAACAGTCCTGTGACTGCAAGCAGCTGCTCAGTGAGGGAAACAGAAACTAACATATATAACATAAAGTATGACTTTTCTGTTATGGGACAATGGCCTTGGGTTAAGCATGATCTGTGTCCGTTGTCTTGGGAGGCCTGGTCCTTTAATAAAAGAAAGCCCCCAAGATGTCCTGGAGATCAGAGAAGATCCACTGGGGAGTCCCCTTCCTTTGCATCCCAAGTATCTCCCAAGCACAGTTGAATCCAGGCCCTTGCTACAGTTCATGTTTGCAGATGTAGGCGTTCAGTTTGTGGCACTTTGCATCATTCCACTTGGTGAATTCTAAGAGCAAAAGAAAAGTCCAACAGTTGACAGATTCCTCTCCCTTGTGTGGATGATCTTGTACAAATCCACTACTAAGATACTAATACGGTGTCAATGACTAGTTACCCAAAAGCAGGAACACCACAGCGGCTCTCCCCTCCTGCATGTTACAGCAACTGATATTGAAAAGCATAGGCAAAAGGTAAGGGTAAAGGACCCCTGGATGGTTAAGTCCAGTCAAAGGTGACTATGGGGTTGTGGCGCTCATTTCACTTTCAGGCCAAGGGAGTTGGCGTTTGTCCACAGACAGCTTTCCGGGTCATGTGGCCAGCATGACTAAACCGCTTCTGGCACAATGGAACACTGTGACGGAAACCAGAGCACACGGAAACGCTGTTTACCTTCCCGCTGTAACGGTACCTATTTATCTACTTGCACTGGTGTGCTTTTGAACTGCTAGGTTGACAGAAGCTGAGGCAGAGCAATGGCAGCTCACTCTGTCATGGGGATTTGAACCGCCAGCCTTCCGATCAGCAAGCCCAAGAGTCTCAGTGGTTTAGAACACAGCGCCACCTGCGTCCCTATTGAAAAGCATACTGCTTCCCTAGCCATGGAGGAAGAGTACAGCCATTGTGGCTAGTAGCCATTGACAGCTTCATCCTTCATGAATTTGTCCTCTATTAAAGTCACCCCGCTGGCATCGGCCTATGACAAAGCGGGATGCATCTGTCTCCCTCATTACTGACTTTCAGAAGGAATTTTAAAACACCCCTGATTACCCAGGCGTTTGGTGACAGAAAGGTACTGTTCCTTTCAAATGTGGAACCACTGGTTAAGGGACTTTTAAAAAACTGTTTTAGAAGGTTTTAAACTCTTTTTATAATACTTAGAAATATTATTGATGTGTTTGCCACCCTGGGCTCCTTTGGGAAACAGGGTGAGATATAAATTGAAACAATAAGTAATAATAATGTGCTAATGTTATTGTCATTCTTTATGTTTCTTAGTCATTTGCACAAACATCTCAAAACAACTTACAAATCATAGTAAAAGACACAAAATATAAAAAGCTAAATAATTGAAAGCAATGCGCAGTTGGTAAAATACACAGATAGAAGTATCCTGTCACTGAAGACTATTGAATAGGCCCTTGACAACAACGTGTGAAGTTAATATAACTGAACAGGGAAGTCTTTGATTCTGGATGGTACTAAATCTTTTTTTTACCTGCACGTTCGCTGCGAACTCTTTCTTCAGGATGGCATCTTCTTTCATGGGCACTTCCCATGGGAGCTCCTACTGCTATTTGCTCAGGTGCGCCATCACCAGGAACAACTTCCTCTCTCACAGAATGCCTCAGCTCAACACAATACTCGTCCTTCCCCAAGTTGTTGGGTGCCCCCAGCATCCAGGCTTTGTAGTTGTAGGTAGACTCATCTGACCACCTCCATTTCCCACTCTGTAGAGTGACAAGAGAAAGTAACTAAGGGGACGACCCAGACAGGAATTTCAAAAAGAATGGGGGAAACAGTGCCCCAAAATATATACCTGGACTTGTTTCAATTAATTTCTACAGGAGACTTTGTGTTTTTTTAAGTCATAACTAGGAAAAATTGTAATAATCACATATAAAAGAAACAGTATACAAGAAGTAAATAAGGAGGCCATTTACAGGATAAAGGAAGTCTTTTATTTTTATGTTTGTTTTCTTTATGTAAAGGGATAGGAGTTTAATTTTGATAATGAAATTGTCAATGGTGGTGGGTTTGTTTGTTTGTATGTATGAGTTGTTGTGGACTATGTTGTAAATAAATTATTAATAATTTTTTTTAATTAAAAAAACATAAAAAGTTTGGAGGTGAAGGGATACTGGTTCTCCTATGACCTCAGTTCATGGGGCCTACATCCTGGAGCCTATCAACCCAGAAACAACCCATCAACCATTAAATAACGGTTGTACATCATGGTAGTCTACATAGCACTGCAAAACTGGAGGACCTGTTCCATAACTAAGATGTCTACAGCTCTAAATTGATTGGGCAGGCCTTACCAATCCACTACTAACACCCAAGGCGACCTCTATGGCTGACAGGGAGCGGCCTCCGAAATTCGCAGCTGAGAGGAAGACGTTAGGGATGCAATGGCACTCCATGTGAACAACGTTTGTTAGAAGGTGCCTTTCCCACGGAGAACACTGGCAGAGCAGAAATGTAGCAGTTTCCAGATACTCACATGTCGGATGTCATGCAAACCAATCCAGACATTGCTGATGTCAGTCTGGTAAGCAGCGATGTGATTGGCTACCACGAGGGTCTCTGCGGGGGTAAGGAGGGAAGCAAGGTGGGCCCCACGCCTGTAACTCTGGCACTCAATCTAGACAAGGACAAGAACAAAGGCTGGTTTTTTCCACATTCCGCTACTCTTTCCTGAGACATCCTGTGGCTTAAAGCAAGAAGAATTGCAATGAACAAGGAACTTTTCTTTTTCTGCAATTTTTTTATTTGATTTTACAACACACAGCTATGATTAAAAGATTCCTCCCAATCTCTGGACTTCCCACCTTCTCCTCCAAGGGTTCTGTTGTCATTTTTAGCTCCATTATCTCCATAGTACCCATTACATTACAAGTGTTATTGCAATCCTGCTAATGTTTTCATTAGTTTACAGTGGTCCCCAAGATAAATTATAATTTTTTCCATTCCTTATTAAAGTTATGGTCTTCTTGGCTTTGAGCGTTCTGGTCGATTTTGCCATTTCGGCATAGTCCAACAGTTTAATTTGCCATTCTTCTCTCGTAGGGACTTTATCTTCTATCCATCTCTGAGCTAATAGCATCCATGCTGCTGTTGGAACAAGGAACTTTTCAGGGTTGAGAACCTCAGGCCCAGAGGTTGAATGGGGGCCCTTAAAAACTTTATCCGGCCCACAAAACTATTCCTAGGCCTCATGCCCTCTTCCCAGGTGAGCACCCTCATTGGCCCTACTTCACACCCCAAGTGTTTTCTTCCTAGCTTGAATGTATCATTGAACTCTGATAATACTTCTTGCTTTCCTGGCTAGAGAAGGGTGTGTAGAAATACTACAAAGGTAGAATTCACTTTTGTCTCTGGCCCTTCCCATCACTGCCATGTGGCCCTCGGGGGTTCCCAGGGTGGAATACAGCCCTCCATCCAAAAAAGGTTCCTGACATATGGTAAAAATTAAAGCTTTCTGTCATATGAATAATTAAAGGAAAAAAATTAAGCAAAATTTCAGCAAGAAAACGGAAGCTTTCTTGCTGGGAATTTTAGACACAGACTTACCCAAGGGGGGGGGGTATTTATTTACGCCACAGCAGCAGCAAGGTCCCTAATTCCCCAAAATTGGAAAAAAGAGGAAACCCCAACAAAAAGAGATTGGCAAGACAAATTATTCGATTATATAGAAATGGCCAGAATAAGAGAGGCAATTACTGGTAAATCGAAACAAACATTTCAAAGGACTGGGATAAATACAGAGATTATCTTAAAAAGCAGTGCCCCCAAATTAACACTTGGTCTTGTTTTATCGCAAAACAAAGCATGTAAAAACAAAAAAAAGAGATAAGGGGATTGACTAAATTAAAAAGGAGAGTTTACTAAATGAAACACCACAAGAAAGATGGAATGAAATAGGTACAATTATATGGGTTTTATTATACTGGATCGACATCTTTCTTCTTTTAGTTTTCTTATTGTCTTAATTCATTTCTTCCGAACAGTGTAAAACTGAAATAAAAAGTTTCAGGGTTCCTCACCCCAGCCAGAGAGAAAAACTTGACTCTTCCACGGCTTCACAAGATTGCCTCAAGAACAGTGTCAGGTCAGACACCTGCCAAGGGCCCAGAGGTATGGAAGGGCTCGTCACCAAACCTCCCAAACCAACTGTGATAAAGATTCCAACATTAGGCACTGTGGGATCCACACATGGCATCGACCCACCACGATACGGACCCGAGCTTTAGCTCAACTCCCAGAATAATTGCTGCCGCCATCAGGAAAACACATCTGCAGGGAGGAGGGAGGTGATTTTAATGACTTCCAGAGACAACAAGCAGCCATGCCACATAGGGGCTGTGATGTCGGGAGGATGGCAGAGGCAACAGCACCCCCTTAAAACAAAACAAAGAGATAATACAGTGGTACCTCTGGTTACGAACTTAATTTGTTCCAGAGGTCTGTACTTAACCCGAAACCATTCTGAGGTACCACTTTAGCTAATGGGGCCTCCTGCTGCCGCTGCGCCGCCATCGCAAGATTTCTGTTCTCATCCTGAGGTAAAGTTCTTAACCCAAGGTACCACTGTAATGCTTTCCTGTCTTTAGCTAGCTGTTTCCTGGCTGTCTCCTGGGATTCTTCTGGCTACCATAAGAACAGAAAGAAGGAGAACCATGAAAAGCAATACTGAACCTCCTCTTGGACCTCCATATTTTGAGAGATATTTACCTAACTTAGGCGAGGCCAGCTGGCCACTTACCTCTGCCTCGTGCCAGGTCATCTGAGTCTCAAAATAGCCATAGCAATTGCCCTGGTATTGCAGCCACTCTCTGGCACAGGTGTCAGCTTTCACTGCTCAGGAGAGAGACAAGAAAAACAGGAATGATGGTGAGGAGTGAGACAAGGACAGAGAGAAGTTTGCTTTCCAAACCACAGGCACTCAGCGCCCCTTGCTTCTTTAATTGGCAGCAGGGGCACTGCTAGGAGGGGTGACCCGGGGGGGGGAGAGAACAAAGGTATTTCAGGGGGGATTTATTTCCTGCAAACAGCAAGGCCCCTGATACAATTCATACTTCTTCTTTTTTGAAGAGGCCCAAGGAGAGTCTGACATCTTTTGGCTCTGAGGAAGTGTCCCATCACAAGAGAACTTCCACTCTGTTGGCAGGAGAAACTCACCTTCCACTAAGGGACTTGAAACCAGGAAGCTAGCCAGAACGACACTAAGATAAGCAACAGACTTCATTTCCTTTTATTCACCTGTGAATATACATCAAGTGTTAATATGGTAGGGCATTTGGAGTATAGGGCCTTATTACCAAGTCAGTATCTGGCTCAGTATGGGGAGGATATTAGCCATGCTTGCTGGGGCTGATGGAAGCTGTAGTCCAACAACATCTGGAGGGCCACATCATTTGTAGTCTGAACTGGCTGACAATAACTCTCCAGGGTTTCAGGCAGGTGATATTTCCAGATATACCCAAAGATGCTGGGGATTGAACCAAACTGACAATGCACCCTGGACTTGTTGCATTCAGGAGGTAGACCCACTGAAGGAAAGGGGACCATGGAAGTGTCTTGCCCAAGGGCCCTGGGGCTGACACTGGCAGAAAAACCACGAAACTGGATACCAGGGAGATGCTGATACCATGAGTATCCATAATCAAATTCAAACCTGCAGTGGGTATCTAATAACCTGGGGTTACTGGGTTCAGTTTCTAGGGTTCTAAGCTGTGAACCAGGCAAAAAGATACTGTTCTGTTAACCAAGGGGGAGAGACTTGGTCACTTAGCTGCTCACCTGAGTCTGCTGCTGAGGTTTCTTCCTTGGAAGATATGCTGGGGCTGTCTGCTAAGTCTGTAGGTGCTTGGATGGTCTCCTGGCCATGCATGGCTTTAATATAGAGCTCAGGTGAACATGATGAAATATTAAAAGGTAACAGCTTTAAGGAAATGTCTTGATACGCTATTGGCAACATTGCATAACAGGGGGCCCAGCCAGCAGAAAGGTGATTTTTATCACGATCCCATTCACAAATTATGAGTGATGGGCCAAAATATGCCCTGTAGTTGACTGTTCTTCCCCTAGGAATGGGGCTTCCCTTTTTCTGCCTCATTTCTGCTGTAGAATTTCAGTGAGTATGGATTCGGCATGCCTTATTGTGTTAGAAGGCTGGGGATGTGGGGGGAGGGCAGGGGTGTTTCTTCCTGATGAACTTTTCACCAGCAGTCTGCAGCCTCCCTAGGTGCCCACCATGGACACAATCTGTGCTGTGCAGGGGGCCGCTAGGGGCGCCTTGGAAGATGGCCGACAATAACATCTATCTGGCTCGCACGAGGTAATTAGAGGCTGATTATGGGTTGACCTTTTCACTAGAAAGGGGAAGAATTTATATTGCATGGAATGCAAATTTGTGGACTTCTGCTTTCAAATAATGCTGCCCAGCAGCACTGTACTGGGAAATGACAGTGGGAACTAGTGCTGACTCGATCACTTGCTGCTTCTGGGTGTCATGTGGGGCCATAGAACAGATTCTGACTTTAACCAAATCCTGCAAGCAATTATTCCTTGTACTCTCGTCAGACTACAATTCCCACGATGATTTGGCAGATATTATGATTGTGAGGGAGATATGAAATGGATATCCATTTGTGCTGCAGACATGCTCGTCCTCTCAGCCCAAATTGTCCCCCAATATGGTGTGAAGATAAATGAACCCCATGTGCAAATTGGACAGATTCCTGAAAAAAGAGAAGGATGCAAATTTATCTCTCCCTTCAAATTCTGCCGCATGATTCTCTTTTATATATATATAAATTTTTAATTAAATTTTCTGTTTTACAATTTAAAATATTGATTTAAACAACCTTAAAATAACAATGACTTCCCTTCTTCTCTTTCCATGGTTCATTTCACAAAACATAAATCCCTGCATATTATATATGAACTAAACCATTCAGTATTCCATTATTACTTCCATCAAAACTTATTTATACTGTTGAATTCATCTTAATGCTTCCAGCGTTTTCAAGTGTACACAATTTTCCCCCATATATTCAATAAACATTTTCCAATCTTCTTTCAATTATTGTTCTTCTTGTTCTCTTATTCTATAAGTTAAATCCACAAGCTGTGCATATTCCATCAGCTTAAGTTGTCATTCTTCTTTGGTTGGGACCTCGCTCATTTTCTATCTGGGGGCTAACAAAACATGGGCCGTTGTAGTGGCATACATAAATAACCTTTTTTGACACCTGGGAATTTCCATCTGAATTATCCCCAGCAAAAAGGACTCTGTTTGGGGGGGGAGTACTTTTAAACATTTTTTTCAATTCATTATGAATTATTTCCCAATACTCTTTCACCCTTTTACAGGTCCACCACATATGAAAGAACATACCCTCAGCCTCATAGCATCTCCAGCACTTATCTTGTCTTACACATCTTAGCAAGTCTACTTGGAGCTTTCCATTTTTGGGCTAACAAAACACAGGCCGTTGTAGTGGCATACATAAATAACCTTTTAAATAAATAACCTGCCACATGATTCTCCACCCTTCTACTTCCTCAATAATCAGTCAGCGTTCCTTGACCACTGAGCATACTCTGTCTTCAATGGGATGTTTTGGGGGATTTCCCTTCCGTAGGGATATTTTCCTTTTAAAATAATGTCAGTCTTGGGGTTTCCCTGAGCCAGTTGATACTTCCCTCTTGTGCATAGATGGTGCCATAATGATCAGCACTCACACAACTGAGGTTGCTGTTAGCACTGGGAGTGGCATGCCCCAAACTAACCCAGTGGCAACTGGATCTGGGTTTTCATTGGGTCACTTTCTCAGTCTGGGGTTGTGCTCTTGTAAAAGGTAAAGGACCCTGACAGTTAAGTCCAGTTGCGAACAACTCTGGGGTTGCAGCGCACATCTCGCTTTACTGGCCGAGGGAGCCGGCATTTGTCTGCAGACAGTTTTTCCAGGTCATGTGGCCAGCATTACTAAGCCACTTCTGGCGAAACCAGAGCAGCGCATGGAAACGCCATTTACCTTCCTGCCAGAACGGTACCTATTTATCTACTTGCACTTTGATGTGCTTTCAGACTGCTAGGTTGGCAGGACCAGGGACCGAGCATTGGGAGCTCACCCCATGGTGGGGATTCAAACTGCCGACCTTCCGATCGGCAAGCCCAAGGCTCTGTGGTTTAGACCACAGCACCACCCACGTCCCACACTCTTCTACTTGGTGACTATTTGCTAACAGGGGCAAAGGGTGTGTGTGAATCAACAAGGTAGAGTGACCAAATGGACAAATGTCATGGCTGCACTCGCGTGCACACACACACACTCCACAAAAGCCCATGGTAAAATACAAATCTTATTTGTTTTAGTTCAATTCTTTCACCTGTAGCCTGAATCAAGATCATGGGTTTTCCTTCCACTGAAGGTGTTAATTGGCTTACCAATGTCAGGATGTTTGTGTTATCATCAACACTGCTTTGTGTTTTATATATATATATATATATATATATATATATATATATATATATACAGAACCATCATAATACAGTACACAAACAAAAGCAAAAGTGAGTGGGTTTTTGCCAACCAGGCCAAAGGCGCTCAGGTTAAGCTGTTGGAGGACTAAAATATGCAAATATTGTATTTGACATGAAATACCCCACCCCACCCCCCATTAGATCTCACTTTCAAGGAAACCCTCAGGGCTTGGGGGACTCCACAGAAGGCTCCTAAAAGAGCAAAGTTTCATAAATCGTCCCTCAGGGCTTGTTATTGTTAGTCAGTGGCGCTTTTAGCCAATTAGATCCAGAGACCACAAACAGTGGGGCAAACCAGGAGTCAGGGACTGAGAAGGCAAATGAGGAGGCAAGATTGAGGAGCATGAACAAGAAGGCCTCTTGCAGTAGTTTATGTCCAAGAGGACCCAGTGGCCAACCTGGGTCAAAGCAATGGATCAGCCAGAGATGGATCTATGGGTGAGCATGTCAGATTCACAGGAGCCTGTTATTAAACGCATACACACATATTCTACATTGCACCAGCAATTCTCTCAAGACTCACCATCTGTGACTTCATTACAGGGCCAATCCTACCATTAGGCACAGCAAGGCAGCTGCCTTAGGCAGTGAATACCGAGAGGTGTGGGTTGCCACAAGATACTGCAGGACAGAACCACGTGCATTACCTACTTTTGACAAGGGAAAGGACCCTCAGGCCTGGGGCTCAGTGCAGCCCTTCAATCCTCTCTCCCTGGCTCTCGGGGCTATCCCTAGGTAACATCCTTTCTCTGATCGCAACCTCTCTTCCCAGGCCACCCCCCCCCCCAAGCCCCCATGTGTGTTTTTGTCTGGGTGGAATATCTCCTTGAACTCTAATAATGCTGCCTGAAATCCAGTAATAGCAAGGGATGTGTGGAGAAGCTAGCCTACTGCACAAGGATAAAATATACATGTTCTGCTTTGTTCACTTTATATCCAGAACCCCCCACCACTGCAGTGGTACCTCGGGTTTATAAACAAACAAACAAACAAACAAACATAAATCCTAACTGTAATAATTCCACTTTTGTTAACATTATTAAGTGACTTCCTCGAGTCCCCCTGGCTGAGTTTCAATGTATATCATTGTGATGGTTTTCCAAAACTATTTTCTCATAAATAACCTGAAACTGTTCTTAACCTGAAACACCACTATAGCTAATAGGGCCTCCCGCTGCCGCTGCTGCGCCGCCACTGCGCAATTTCTGTTCTCATCCTGAAGCAAAGTTCTTAACCTGAGGTACTATTTCTGGGTTAGCAGAGTCTGTAACCTGAAGCGTCTGTAACCCGAGGTACCACTGTACAGGCATTTGACACTCCACCCCCAAGTTGTTTATGACCTATAAATTGGAAAAGGTTTCCCAACCCTATCCTATGTAGAGATGTGAAGGCTCTAGGTGGGGGGCATAATCGTTTTCCCTATTGTTATTTTTTTCCAAATTCTCCTCCCCCCATGAAAAAAATGAATGGGGATGGGGTTGTAGAATATATTATTTTAGAATGATGTATAAAAGTGTTTAAAACAAGGTGTGCATATATTTACTCCCCACGAATGCTTTCGAAAAAGTATGTGATGGGATGACTTTTATGTAAGACAGTGCACAGCATCAGATACAACGAGGAGAAGCAAGTCCTGCGTGGTAATTTGAGACTACAACTCTGAAATGGAAGAGCAAGGTGCATTTATGCCTCTAGGGGGCACTGCCATTGTCAGCAGGAACATTTCAATGCCTTCCTTAGCTTGCAAAAGAGTAGAAATGCTTGTTTAAATCCAGCCAAGCCTCGCGTTTTTAGAAATCTGTGATAACTATGGCGGCAAATGTGAAGAAGCAAAAGAAGGAGATATTGAAACTGACAGTGATAGCTCAAAAAGTGATACGGATGCATACGACCAATATAGCTCCCATCAGCCATCTCGCCTTAGTTTGGCTTAGCCAGAATGGTGTAGTGCAGCAGATCTGGCTTATAATTGCTTGTTTCCTGTAATTAATTCCAGTTCTACTACTCGTAGGCATGAGCAAAGGGATGCAGGACTGACACCCACCTGTCCCAGATCACTAGAACCCTTAGACCAGGTGGGGCTATACTTTGCCCTCAAGGTGTGGCTGGACTACAGTTCCCATCACTCCTGGTCTTTGGCTTTGATGGCAGGAGCTGGTGGGAGTTGGGGGTTCACTGACATGGAGGACCATCAGTTAGCCATCCCTTCCTCTGGTACATCGAGTAGAATTGATCCACCCCAACACACTCACCGTGTGCTGGCCTTCTACTTACAAGAATAGTGCAGGAGACCCTGCAGAACTATTGTTTTTCCTACTGGATTAGATAGACCACTGGTCTGGCTCAGTCAGCTCCCATATGATTCCTCCCAGAGCACTCTGAAATGGAGCACTCCGTTATAACCACTGCACAATTCTACCCCCTCATTCTGTTGCCTGTGCAGACCAAACCTTTATTCAGCCAGCCCTCCAGCCTCTGAGATTTTGGGACAACGCCATGCACAAGAACCTGGTGTAAAGCAAACCATGGTGACTGAAGCTGGCATAAAGTTACACCAGATAGAGATGCTGTTTGGCAATGCATTTGCTGCTGCTGCTGCTGCTCTGCCCAAGCCTGGCAGAGGGAAAGGTAGAGGTAAAAGGACCCCTGACCATTAGGTCCAGTCATGACCGACTCTGGGGTTGTGGCACTCATCTCGCTTTATTGGCTGAGGGAGCCAGCGCACAGCTTCTGAGTCATGTGGCCAGCATGATTAAGCTGCTTCTGGTGAACCAGAGCAGTGCATGGAAACGCCGTTTACCCTCCCGCCAGAGCAGTACCTATTTATCTACTTGCATTTTGATGTGCTTTCGAACTGCTAGGTTGGCAGGAGCAGGGACAGGAGCTCACCCCGTCACGGGGATTCAAACCGCCAACCTTCTGATTGGCAAGTCGTAGGCTCTGTGGTTTAACCCACAGCACCACCCACGTCCCGGCAGAGGGAAAACAAGCCTTTTAAAATAATCATAGAATTGTGGAGTTGGAAGGGACCATGAGGGTCATCTAGTCCAACACCCTGCAATGAAGGAATCTTTTGCCCAATGTGGGGCTCGAATCCATGACCCTGAGATTAAGAGTCTCATGCTCTACCAGCTGGCCTTTCCCAGCAGTTTCATAATGTTTTATGCTGTCAGGTCACATGACCAAGGTGAACGGGCTTCCTAAGTCTCCACTCTCCACTCTCACCCACCACTAAACCCCAAAACACCACGAGGGTGGGCGCTTATACCAGCTTCAACTCAGATAGCTTCAGCTCAGCTGACTGAGCCCAAAATCAGGAAGGGTGAGCAAGTTACACTGGCATATCTTTGGCTGGTTAGGGATTGGGTACTTAATGCTCACTGAGCCCATCACTCACTTGAGCTGGAAACCTGTTGCAACCTAAGCTGCTCATCCTAGCAGATCTTGCCCTAGGATTGACCCTCTTCTCCGGTTCTATTCCTAACAAACTTTCAATTCTGTCTGCACAACTTTATGAAGTATTCTGCAGCCTTATAAGGACTCTATCAGTATTTTGTGTGAGAGATTCAAGCACATACTAGAACTTTAGGTTTGCATGTTGAAAGTGGAATGTGCCACTCTGTCACCTTTGCATAACAAATCCACTTTTTAAAAAACTATTTGCAGAAATATTTTTTGAAAGTGACAGGGAAATGTACTGAAAAGTGTTGGACAGACGAATTACTAATGGGCAGATATGTAAGCAAATGATGATGAATGTTCATTGTCATATAACTGCCCTGTAAACAAATCAGACTGAATGCTCAAGAAAGGCCAGACATAATCTAACCACCGCATAAACTTTCTGCAAACAAATCAGGATGAGTGTGGAATAAAGGGGCCATATGGAGGATCCCTATGTACCAGGCACTTGATTTAAAACAAACAACAAAGGGGAAACTGGGATTCCCTAAAGCAGAAATCTAGACCCAAGGTGTTGGAATTTGTCGCCAGCTGAGAGGGAAGAAAATATTAAAAGAAATCACTCACCAGAAAATTCATACACTTAAGGAAGATTTTATTAGCATTTGTTTGTGCTGTAGCCACTGAAGGGTGTGTAGGCAAAACATATGGATAACTAAGGTTTAACACCAGAGGGCATGTCTGCATTATGGACTTAAACAGGTTTTATACCACCTTAATTGTCATGGCTCTCCCCCAGAGAATATTGGGAACTCTAGTTTTATGCTGTTTTATGTTTAATAGGATGCTTTCTATTAAAGATCCCTTTCACAGAACTGTGGTTCCCAGGGTCCCCCAGGAGAGAGAGAATGACTTAAACCACTTAAAGTTTCTAATGCAGACAAATGCCCAGAGACTGTTTTGAAAGGGAACAGTATCATTTGGGTTTAGAAGATTCTGTGTAGGTTGTCCCAGAAGACCTTCTCCTTTGCAAAGGCAAGTCTTCAAGATGTACGGGAATTGCAGAAGGTCCATCGGGAGTCCCATTCATCTGAGTTCCTTCCATCTTGAAGTGACGGCTGAGCCAATGCCCTCTCTACAGTTCATGCTTGCAGATGTAGGCATTCTGTTTGTGGCATGCTGCATCATTCCATTTCGAGAAATCTAGAGGGAGAACCAGTCACCTGTTATGGGATGGTACAACAGTCAACAGCTTTGGGTCCCAATACTTTTGGGATGTCAGAGGCAATATGTCAGTTGTTGGGAAACACAAGTGGGGAGAGTGCTGTTGTACATGGGCCCTACGTACGGGCTTCCCATAGGCATTTGTTTAGCCACTTTGAGAGTAGGATGTTGGACTATTATGGTCCTTAGGCCTGATCCAGCAGGGCTCGTCTTATGACCCAACTAAGGATCAAGGCAGGAATATTCAAAAACAGACAAAAGGTCCATGCTACACAATAGATAGCATTACCTCTTACTCTGAAGTAGAAAATTATTCTGCTACCCAAATCCAGTCAGTGGGGTTCTTCCATCTGGGAATCATACTTTTTCTCTACATAGAGGTGAAGTGGTACGAAATGGAGCAAGAATGGGGTTCTATCCTGTCTTGACCACAAGTGAGGGCTCATGTATTAAGAATAGACATGAGAGTGGCCTATTCAGTTAGTGGCAAGTAGGGTCAGGCTGAAGTTTCAGGACCTTGGATAGCTCCAAGCATACAGTTCCTCAAGTGGGGATTCACAGCTTATGGAACACTCCAGAGTTGCCTAATTGGTTGGGTAATATGTAGAATCAAGCTGGCATTTCAGAACCTTGGATAGCTCCAAGAAGACAACTTGCTCCAATGGCATCAGGAACTCATCTGAGGCTTTTTATCTCTCCTGGACCTAGTTACCCCTCTCAGGCTGACCTCTGTATCACAGTGTAGGAGATACCGAGATGCTTTTGAACAGGACAGCCTCCCTCCTGGATAGCAGCTCCCCAAAACTGTTCACCTGAACGTTTAATGATGACTCTTTCTTCCCGTTGTTGAGGTGAGTCAGCATCAGGAACAGCTGCCCCACTCACGGAACGTAGCAGCTCCACGCAATATTTATTTCCGCCCCGTTTGGTGGGTGCCCCCAGCATCCATGCTTTATAGTTGTAGGTAGACTCATCTGACCACCTCCACTTGCCGTTCTGGAAGACGAAGAGAGAAAGGAACATGGAGATAAGTGTGGAGGTGAAGCAAAAGCCTCAGTTCAGGATCTGGTGCAAGGCCAGTCCACCCAATGGGCAAAGTGAGGTGGCCACTTCAAGCAGCAGATTGTGGATGTTGTGAAGGACATAAAACTGGGAAAGGGCCATAATCCAATGGTAGAGCACCTGATTTGCATTCCAGGTTCAATCCCCATCATCTCTAAGTAGGGCTGGGAATCCACCTTGCCTGAAACCCTGGAGAGCTGCTGTCAGTCCGTGTAGACACTATTGAGCTAGATAGTCCAATGTTCTGACTCAGTATAAGGCAATTTCCTATATTCCAAGTTGTTATTTCATTTATAATTACTCTATTGCTACCCCAAGGGGGAAACACATTTGGATTTTGAAACTCAGGTACCAAAAATAACTTGGCCAGCCCTACCTTGACTTGGGTAGCAAAATGTCTTCCCCGAACCTAGATCTACTGGTTCCCTATTGTCTCTGGAATAAATTCCATCCTAGAAGGGTCACACCCACCATCTATCACACAGTGGTCCAAGAACCTCACCCCTTTTGATACATTTAACATGTTTTCTATGAATGTCAGTCTTGTATGGATGCCTGTTTGGGCACCTGGATGGCTTATACCGACACATATGTTTAATTTAATGCTGGTTTGCCAGGCACAATCTTTACCTAATTTTAGGTGGCAGGCAAAAGCTTTCCTTTCTACCCAGGCTTTTTGCCTTTAATTGGAAGGGTTTTAAAGTATTTGTGGCCTCTTTTAATGGGACAGGATCTGAATGACCTGTTAATTATGTAAATGGTTTTTTTTAAGGTTTTTATTGATTGTGTTTATTGCAATTGCTTTTAGTATTTATGTTGTATCCATAAGTCTCTTTGAGTCATTTCCGTGAATAAAGCAACACATGACATTATTATTATTATTATTATTATTATTATTATTCTGATGGAATTTGCAGGGGTGTCTCTCATTCACTTTCCCCCCTTTGTTTGCTTTTCTTTCTTTCTTATTTGCTAATTTGCTTTGTAAAAAAGTAATTTAAAAAATAAAAAAGAATGGATTTTGAGACTCACATGAGCCCAAATCTGTGTCACATAATAGACTGCACAGTGATTCCCAAAATGTGCCCTGCTGTATACAAGGGTGTCTGTTTTCTCTTGGGAACATTGTCTGAGGAGAAGCACAGAGGGGTCTAGATACGTACATGTCGGATATCATGCAGTCCAATCCACACATTGCTGGGTTCTGTCTGGTAAGCGAAGATGTGATCAGCCACCACGAGAGACTCTGCAACAGTGAGGATAGAGGCAAGGTGTGCCCCACGGTGGTAACTCTGGCATTCGATCTGGGCAAAGGGGAAAGGTAGGAAAGGCTTTTAATGCCCCTGTTCTCCTCCAGCATCATAAGAAGGAGGATGGTGCTTAGGGCCTCCTCCTAGACTGGCTATAAGTTGGGAGCTGGGTAAGCAAGTGGGGCTGGTTGTGGACAGACTGAGCTTGGTGGAGAAATGCCCCATTTCTCCAAATGGAACAGCATCCACTGCTGTTTGCTGTCACCAAACCTGACAGGATGGAAAGAAGGAGATTTAGAAAGTGGGGAAGCATCAAACATATTGGAACATCTTACCCAACAGTGGCCTCAGTGACAAATACCTAACCCAAGGCTTGATGCCCCCTCTGTTTCTTACCTCAGCTTCTTCCCAGGTCATTTTAGCTTCAAAATAGCCATAGCAGTTGCCCTGGTATTGCAGCCACTCCCTGGCACAAGTGTCAGCCTTAACTGCTCAGCAGAGAGAGAGATAAACCGAAAGGAAGGGGGTGAGACCATAATAATAATCTCTATTATTATTATTATTATTATTATTATTATTATTATTATTATCATCATCATCATTATTACTACATCCTTTTTCTTCAACAAGCATGCATGGTTCCCTCCCTCCCCCACTTCATCCTCACAAGAACCCCATGAGGCAGGTTAGGCTGAGAAATAGTGCCAGGCCCAAGATCACCGTGAAGTGTAGGTGGGTTCCCACGAGGCAAGACACAGTGATAACAGCAAGAACCTTTATCGAACTAACAGAACTGAACAACAGGGGCAAAGCAACTGCGTATATACATTTCTGAAGGCCTGGGCCACTCCCACTCCCAACGTGATTGGCTGCCCAAACTTCCAAGCTGCGAATCATAACCCAGAGTTTAAGGGCCAATGGCAGAGGCACAAATCCTGAAATATTCTGTGACTGGATATCATGTATCGAATCAGAACACAGGGGCACAGAATCCTTAGTCCAGGCTCAAGCTCAGGCAAACACAGACCACTGAATACATAACACACCCAGTGAGCTTCTTGGCTAAGCAGGGATTTGAAGACTGATCTCCTGGTTCCTGTTCCAACACTCAAACCCAGGTTTTGGGAGCTGAATCTGGCCAGTGGGCTGGTCCTGACCTTTCCTAATCCCTGTTGGGCCATTTTGGCAGGTGGGTGAGACCATCAATGTGTCCGTCACCTTACAGCACCATGACATCAGATGAAGCCCACACAGTCTGATGTCAAACTAAGGCACAGGGTTCTACAGCCACTATCAATCAGCTGACTGCTAGCACTTGGAAATCCCATGAATTTGTCCAGCCCCCTTTTTAGCCTTCTAGGTTTGTGGCCTTCTCTGCCTGTAGTGGAAGAGAGTTCCATTGTTTAACTATGCCCTCTCCTGAATCTTCCAACATTCAGCTGTGGTGGATATCATTTCATGCTGTGCCTTCTAGATCGTAAACCAGGAAAAGGTTGATGTTTTTTAAAACAGATCTGTAAGCTGCTGGGGGAATTGGGGCTTTGGGGCTAAGGACCAGGGTAAAAATGCTTTTATATAGATAAAATATGCTTTAACTCGGGGGAAATTCTGCAGCTAAAGAACTGCCACTATGCCTGCTCCAATAGCGCTGAAGAATGCAGGAGAGACTTACCTCCCACAAGGGAGCTTGAAACCAGGAAACTGGCCAGGAAGACACTTAGATAAGTGAGAGACCCCATTTTTTTCTTGGTTCACCTGAAATTATATAAGGAAACAGGACCAGAAGAACATAAGAATCCCCAGGCTGGAGCATCCTTGGGCAAATTCAGATCTGCAGCATGTACTTTCCAACTGTGGATCCCATTGGTTATTTGCTGGGGCTAGACCCACCAGGCAAAGCCACAACAGGTCTTCAATATTTAGACCAAACCAACAGTCTCATGTTCACTGCAGATTGCAGATGGCAATGTTGCACATCTCTGCTGCTTACTCTGCCTGAGACCAGACAGTCCCAGGCAAATTCAGTAAGCTATCATAGGAACCTCAGAAGTTGCGTTATGCTGAGTCAGACCATTGGTCCACCAAATTCAGTATTGTACCTGCTGACTAGAAACAAATTTCCAGCGTTTCATACAGGTTCCTTTCCCATGCCTACCTGCAGCTGCCAAGAATTGAACCCAGCACCTTCTGCATGCAAAGGAGATGCTCTACTAGTGAAGCCCCAGAGCCTCCTTAGAGGAAGCATCATAGCTCCATTGTACAGTATCTCTTTGCATGCAAAAAGACCAAGGTTGAATTTCCAGCATCTCCAGGAAAGGCTGGAAGAGAACCCTGCCTGAAACCTGGAGAGCTGCTGACAGTCAGTGTAGAGAATACTGAGCTAGATGGTCCAGTCATGTGACTCAGTATAAGACTTCTTCCTGCATTCCTAGTTGCTCCTATAATATGGAATCAAACCAATCATTTGTCCAACCCAACACGGTAGGCAGGCCCAATTTATGCCCATTTTACAGATGGTGTGTCTGGAATTCAGATTTCCATCATTTGGATCCTCCTGTATCTTAACCAAAGTGTATTATTCTTGCTATAAGTGGCATCTGCAACAAGACCTGGATCCTGCAATCCTCATCTGAGGCCCTTCTTTGTGTGCCTCCTCCGCAAGAGGTCTGGAGGTTGACGACACAAGAAGCATAGCATCCATCGTAAAACAGCATTGATGACACAGAAAAATCAGGGAAGCTCAACTGCTCACCTGGACCCTTCGACTGATTCTCTTCTGAAGGTAGATGCTTATAGCTACCTGCTGAGTCTTCCTCAATGGTCTCTCCTGCTCCACAGAAAGATGTTATATAGAACTCATCTGGACATGATGAAAGACCACAGGCAGCAGGTTAAGGAAATGACTTGATGTGCTACTGTTCACATTACACAAGAGATGGCCGGGCCAGGAGATTTTTATCTGAGGCCAAAAGGTATGGACCTCTGTCACAAATGACTCACTGGGGTTGTATGGAACATTGGGCCAGTGGCTTATCCAGTCTAGTAGCATCCTGTTCTCACAGCAGCCAATCAGATGCCTATAGGAAGTCTGCAAACAGGACTTTGTGCTCAAGCACACTATCCCTTCCTGCGGTTTCCAGCAGCTGCCATTCAGAGGCATATTGCCTCCAGTGGTATGGAGGTAGAACATAGTCATCAGGGCTGGTTGCCACCAATAGCCATATCCTCTATGAATTTGCCCAATGGTCTTTGTAAGCTATCCAAATTGGTGGCCATCACTACAAATGCTGTAGTTTAACTATGAAGAAATTTGTCTGCTGTGAATCTTCCAACATTCAGCTTTGTTGGGTGTCTACAGGTTCTAGTGTCCAAATAATAAAGATCATTCATTCATTCATTTATACCCTGCCTTTTCTCTAAAAGGGCCTCAAAGTGGCTTGCAGATAAAGTAAGAACAACTGGAATAATTATAATAATTAATAAAATGGACTTACTAAGCAAAGTTTTTTTTCCACTGAAAAGAGGAAATCTTAGTCAACAGCTCAGATTCTTCTGGGGTCAAACTTCCACCCTGCTCTTACCCAAGGGACCACATAATGTCATACCTGGGGCTCAATTTAATCACAGCAACCTTTGACGAAAGGTTGGGCTGGAAAAGGTCGTGTTACATGCACCACAAACTGTTGTCAGTTTTAGACCGTCATGGATTCTCCCCCAAAGAACACTGGGAACCCTTTGAAGCAGAGTCAGCCCTGCCATGCACCAGATCAAAACGATCTGTTTCAGGTGGCACCATGGAAGCATGGGGGGCAGGAAGTTCAGCGGGGCAGTTGGAAAATATAAGATTTGGGAACTTGTGGTGTACAGGTAGGGATGGGCGAAACTCCATTTCGAGATCTCTCAGTTCTTCATTTCTTCTGCTCTTCAGTTTAGTTTTCCACATTTCCACATCAGTTTGTGGGAGGGGAGAGGTTGGTTGTTTTGGGGGAGTTTTAAGTCTTTATAAAAATTCATTAGCATTTCTTTGCAAATTCCTCTTAAAATACAAATGTGCCCACTGGCCCCAAAAGGGTTAGCCACATCTTCTTTGTAGTCATCCCTTTTCCTCAGGGGACACAGATAAATATATAGAGACTGGCATGCCCAACAGGCTACCCCTGTGATCTTCAAAACCTAAAAAGGAGCTGGCACTGTATTTCCCATAGGTCTACCCTCTTGTTCTTAGGGGATATCTGATGGCAAGGATGAGTGCATAAGACTGAATCAACAACATGGTGGCCAGACATGATTTTACATATATATATATATATATATATAATTCCATTTATTTATTTATTTATTTATTTTTAATGTTGCAAGACATATATGAAATCTTTACATAATGATACATATACATTATATTCATAAATTCACATTTTCACATTTCATTATCCATTTCTTATTTCTTGCCCTGTGTCTTCCCTCCACCTGTGCTTGACTTCCTTCTTCTTATTTTGTAACTTTATTATTGAGATTGTAATTTTGTATCTTAATAATTAAACATTCAATCTTATATATCTACTTAGCTTAACTTAACTTTGTGAAATCAGTCTGTACATATCAACAAATTATTGTTGGAGCATCTTTTGGTCATGTATTCTTCTACACTTTACTAAAAAAATTTTTTTTAAAATGAATGCAAGGACATATGCTGAGACCCAGGTTTTTATTTGCAGCTGATATTATTGCTCGTGCCCGTCATCAGCCAAACTACCGTTCTCACCCTATAGTGCACTGATCGAAGCAGAAGTGAGATTTTGCAAGAAAGACTTAAGGAAGAAAGGCTTATGGCTGAACTGTCAAAAATCTGAAATATCCTTGCATACATAGACCTTTCAGCTGTCCTTTTCAGGCCATAAGGAAATCTATAGGCCTCAGGGTTCTCCTTTGACGCCTCCTACAGTGGAGAGGTTTCACAAACCATCACTCAGGTTGATCTTGTCTTTGCCATTGTTTCTCAACATGGGGTAGCGAGTGTTTTGTGTCTGTAGCCTCTGGTCACACCATAGTGCGACTGTTGCAATGCATCCGCAGCCGCTGGCCAGCTTGGGGAAAGAGTGGATGCATAATGAAAGCTGCCTCACTGAATGGTCTTTGGTGAACTGATGCTCACAGGTTTGATTGGTTTTTGATTTGAACTGGGCTCTATGTCACAAGTGTTCTTTGAAGACACCCCCAGGCTAATTCATGCGAAGGTTTGTGTCTATGGTAGCCGAGTCGTTGCAGGTGTAGACTGTCCAGCTGTCTTCTCACAAGCTGAACCCATTGTGTACATGCTAACTGCCACACCTGGAATTCAGTCTGTTTGGGTTTGTAACACATCTTCACAACTGTGAGATTTGTCTATAGCAGACATCCATATGCACCTGCCCAAGCATATAGATAGATAGATGATAGATAGATAGATAGATAGATAGATAGATAGATAGATAGATGATAGATAGATAGATGATAGATGATAGATGATAGATGATAGATGATAGATAGATAGATAGATAGATAGATAGATAGATAGATAGATAGATGATAGATAGAAAGATAGATGATAGATAGATAGATGATAGATAGATAGATGATGATGATGATAGATAGATAGATAGATAGATAGATAGATGATAGATAGATAGATAGATAGATAGATAGATAGATAGATAGATAGATAGATGATAGATAGATAGATATAGATGATAGATAGATAGATAGATAGATAGATAGATAGATAGATAGATAGATGATAGATAGATAGATAGATGATAGATAGATAGATAGATAGATAGATAGATAGATAGATAGATGATAGATAGATAGATAGATAGATAGATAGATAGATAGATAGATAGATGATAGTGATAGATGATAGATAGATAGATAGATAGATGATAGATAGATAGATAGATAGATGATAGATAGATAGATAGATGATAGATAGATAGAGATAGATATAGATAGATGATAGATAGATAGATAGATAGATAGATAGATAGATGATAGATAGATATAGATAGATATAGATAGATAGATAGATAGATAGATAGATAGATAGATGATAGATAGATAGATAGATGATAGATAGATAGATAGATAGATAGATAGATAGATAGATAGATAGATGATAGATGATAGATAGATAGATAGATAGATGATAGATAGATAGATAGATAGATAGATAGATAGATAGATAGATGATAGATAGATAGATGATAGATAGATAGATAGATAGATAGATAGATAGATAGATAGATGATAGATAGATGATAGATAGATATAGAGATAGACTTCCCTTCTTCTCTTTCCATGGTTCATTTTGCACATCATAAATCCCTGTATATTTTACATAAACTAAACCATTCAGTATTCCATTATTACATCCATAAAAACTTATTTACACTTTTGAATTTATCTTAATGCTTCCAGCGTTTTCAAGTGTACACAAATTTTCCCCCATATATTCAATAAACATTTTCCAATCTTCTCTAAATGTATGTTCTTCTTGTTCTCTCATTCTAGAAGTTAAATCTGCAAGCTGCGCATATTCCATCAGCTTAAGTTGCCATTCTTCTTTAGTTGGGACCTCACTCGTTTCCATTTTGGGGCTAATAAAACACGGGCTGCAGTTGTGTCATACATATATAATCTTTTTTGATACCTGGTTTTTGGGGGGAAGTACTTTTAAAGATTTTTTTTTCAATTCATTATGGATTATTTCCCTATCATCTTTTACACTTTTACAGGTCCACCACATGTGAAAGAATGTTCCCTCAACCTCATTGCATCTCCAGCACTTCTCTGATTCAGTCTTATACATCTTAGCAAGCCTACTCAGAGTTCAATACCATCTGTAAATCATTTTCAAGTAGTCATCCTCACCTGCCCAAGCTTTATGTTCACTATTCAAGCCCCTGCGGTCTGGCTGAGGATGACTACTTAGGGGACAGGAATACTAAGCAATAATTTCATAGAAAAACTGGGTTGGGGAGGGTCAGATGCTGAAGCTCTGGGCTAGAAAAAAGTCACTCTCTGGAATTTAATCCCATAGAAGAAAAATGAGCAGGTTTCTTCATATCTGATAATCATTTTCATAAATGCTTTTCCTACTCTCCTAGTTAATAATATCGCTTTTTAAAAAGCCTCCCCAACACCATATGCCTTTCTACACCTAAATATTTATTTTTGATCATATGTAACAAATTTATAGATAACTAAAGGGTATCATGATGCCCTTTTTGCAATGCTCAAGGCTAGAAATACAAGCCGCATTCCACCGATTCAGCCCTGGATTATGCAAGACTGAAGACATCGGACCAGTATTTCCATGGTTGATTAAGAATGTGGTTCCTGTTCCTCTTCATAAGGAAATGGATTCAAAACTCCCCCCCCCACACACACACACTATGCTTTTCCCCACCAAATTGAAAGAGAGGTTGATGCAAGCTACATTCCACTGATTTGGCCTTAAATTATGCAAAACTGAAGGCATCAGACCAGGATTTCCTTGCAGCATTCTGCTCATCTTGGTATTGCACCACCTCTGCCTGGGGTCTATATAACAGCCGCCCAGACTAGGTGAGACCATCAGAGAGGCACCTGGCTCAGCTGACAACCACACTGGTCCACCCAGAAGAACAGCATCGCAAGGTAAGAGCTTGTGGAAGTGATCTACGAGTCTTGGTGAAGGGATTTTTTCAAAGGCCGTGAGGGAGATGGTTGAAAGGTTCGTGAACAAGGACTTGTGGTGAGGGTGGCTGGTGCCCACTAGAATTGATAGGGCC